AAGCGGCGCGCACGGCCACCTGCATTGAGATTCAGCCGGTGGGGCCTCTGCGGGGGGAGTCGCTCGCCGCGTGCAGCCGCCGCGCGGAGGGGGACGCGCGGGTGCTGCTTGCGTGCAGCGAGGCGCTGAAGGCCCGCGCGCAGGTGGCTGCCGACGTCATCAAGAGCGGCGGGGGGGAGGCGGCGATCACCGCTCTGGGGGAGGCGCTGAAGATCGGGGAGCTGGGGGTCTCTAAGGCGGCGGCCAGCGGTGGGCGGGTTCGATCTGTGCACGAGCTGATCTGGTGCTGAGTATGCTTGGCAGCGCTTGGTGGCGGCAGGCTGACACTCGCACCCACGCTACGCACGCCTGCGCGTGCGCTTGCGCCCACACACGCCCTGCGCACGCGTACTTTGAAGAGGCCGGACGTCATGCGGGCAGCGCTCGCTGTTGCCGCCTCCCCTCTTAGCAAGCAGGCTACCCACTCGCCTCATGGCACCAACCCCTCGCTTGCCCATCCGCATCCTCCTGTCCCCTCACCCCTTTCCTTCCCCCCTTTCCTTACGCCTTCCTTCCTTCCTTCCTTCCTTCCTTCCTTCCTTCCTTCCTTCCTTCCTTCCTTCCTCCCTTCCTTCCTTCCTTCCTTCATTCCTTCCTTCCTTCTTTCCTTTCTTCTCTCCTTCCATCGATTGACGATGCATCTAAACCCGCACGCAGGCCCGTGCCCTCAGGTGGTGGACGTGCAGGCACTGATCTACTCCCTGCTCAACCACCCCGCCATCTACGAGGCGAAGGCCTTTGCCGCCCTGCAGCAGCAGTCGCTGTTGAGTCTTGCACTGTCCAGCGCCCTGCTCGCGTTTGGCATGGGCTCCCAGCTCGTGGCCCTCGGCCTGGCGCCTTGGGACGGCTGGCGCCCGCCGCGCATCCGCCAGGTAGGTCGGCTCTCTGGGTGGGGAGTGGGGAGGGCGATCGCATGCACGGCAGTGTGGGTGCGTCACGCTTGCACTGCCTCGAGGACTGGTCAGTCGGTGTGAGCAATTGTGCGAGTGCCTCTAGGCTGCTCAGCAACCACCTTCTCCTGCTTGCTCTGTGGTGGATGGCAGTGCTCTGCTGGCTTCATTTAACGGGCGGCCGGCATCCGCTGCCGAGTGATAAGTGACCGTCGACCACCATGCCGCATCGACGCATTTATACCCTGCCGCCCCCGCTCCGCCCGCCGCGCGATCTTCGCTTGCCCCATGCAGATCCTGCGGCTGCTGGCGCAGCACATCCTGTCGGCGCGCGCTGTGACGCTCCAGAACAAGATCACCGCGGGCCAGCTGGCCGAGCAGCTGTTCCGCCGCTGCGCGATAGGCGAGATCGGGGGCGGAGCCATCCCCAACCGGCTGGTGGGTGTGCAGCGCAACGCGCACGCGCACACGCGCGCACACGCACACACACGCACGCACAGCGCGCACGCCCGCCAGCATCGTTGACATGAAACGCTCGCATTTGCATTGTGTTTGCACCGCGCCGATCGCCGTGATGATGGTTGGGAATTTGCCTGGACTTCACTCACTCACCGCTTACCGGCCGCCCGTGTGTGCAGACGGGCGCGATCATCGACCAGCTGGCGTGGTCAGCTGACGTCATCATCATCAAGGTTCCCGCGCCGCAGCGCGGCGGCGGCGGCGGCGGCTACGCTGGCGGCGCAGAAGCGGGGCAATGGCACCTGGCCGAGGCGCGGCTGCTGTTCCTGCCGCACAAGGAGGGCTCGGAGGGCTGGGACGTGCTGCTCACGATCGCCGTCCGCCGCGGCGCCCTTACAGGGGGCAACCTGGGGCTGCACTCCCTCTGCAACGGCGGGGCGCTGCGCGTCTTGGCCGGCATGCAAGTGACGGTGAGCCGCAGATAGAGCAGGCTGGGCATGATGAGCGCGTGGCTCTTTGTTCCTGCGTTGCGCTGCCTGCGCCCACTAGCCCCGCCCCGCTCCCCGCTGGCTGCTCAATCGCCTGATCGTGTGTGTGCTCGTCCATCCCCATCGCCACAGAAGCTGCACGGGCTGCCGCGCACTGGCGCGTACGGCGAACCCGCGGCACCCGCGGCGGTCATCCCTGACGTCGGCGGCAGCAACAGCGGCGGCGGCGGCGCGGGCGCTCGCGGCGCGGGCGCCGCCAGCACCGCGGCCAGCAGCGCAGCGGGCGGCGGCGGGGCGAGCACCAGCAGCAGCGCCGGTGCCGGCGCCAGCGCCGCGGCCGCAGCGCCGCCCAGCAGCGCCGGCGCAGCATGGGTGAGCTCCCAGCGGCGGCTGCACGAGTGGCGGCTGGGCCTGGCCACCGGCGCCAGGGTGCTGCTGGTGGACCCAGCCTCCGGCGTCAAGATGGCGGACGCCGTGGCGGTCGCCGCGCCCCCGGCC